CGGATTCCCGTTGCCGGTCGCGCTCGCGCTCGCAAGCGCCCACACCGCAACAGAGAGCTGGCACCGCGTCTCGTAAATCCTTACGAACCGCCACCGCCGCCGCGATTCGTTTAAACGAACGTCACCGCAAACGAGACCTCGAGGCCGAGAGATGCGAACGAAAGGAAAAGCGACGAGGATCGCGTTACTGGAACCGAGTTTGTGCGAACGAGACGGCGCGAACGTGGATTCAGGATCGAACGGTGAAACGGTCCACGGTCTTTCGGGGTTCCAGTTCAGTCGTTGTCCTTGGTTCTTCGGGAATGACGACGAGAATGTGGATAGAGACGCGCTAAGAGATGGTTGCCATTAAGTAATGGTTCCGAGATATATCAGGGATCTTTGAGATGGTCTAGATATAGAGCTAAGCTAAATTTGGAGACTTCGCAGGTATCTTCGGAATCTTTCGAGACATCCTAGGGATATCCGCGTCGTTTACACCTTGGAAAACTTGGAGGTTGAAGATACTCCAGAAATATGCGCGGAGAGATAGACTGAGGCAATTAACAGTAGAACTACCAGTCGAAATGACTGGTTTCGATATTTTTGTTTAGCAATCATTGATATCTTCGAAATGATTTTGAAAATAGTTTCATTTCAGTACTATAATGAATGCCTGAAGAAATTGAAAATAATCTGTTACAATTTTTATAGGAATTGGTAGTTCTAGTGTTAATCGAGCGACCTCGAGCGACTAAAGGCGTCCCTCCTATCCAAAAGCAAAGCGATCAACGCGAATCCTAGCCAATCGGAGCAGTCTACTTTCCCGAGTTCCCAGGTCTGGCGTCCGAAAAATTCGGAAAGATCAACGTCCGACCGGGGAAGAGCGAAAACCGTCTCACAGGTGTATCGTCAACAATATCGCGAGGTGGGCGGCAAACGCCGAGCCACCGGCAAGAGAAAAGGGGAGCGCGCGGGGGTGGCGAGGGCCTCGGGAAAGGAGGACGCTAGCGCGCCGACGGGAGGAGAGAGAGAGAAAGAGCAGGGTACGAGAGCCTGAGAAAGGAAGCAGCATCCGAGCAGCGAACGGCAATAAAGGGCTCGTTTCAGCGGGCCGTTGGGGGCATTATATTGTGGCCGAGCGGCGCGCGGCGCGATAGAGCCCGTGTGCACAATGCGAGCCGGTGTTTCGGCGATAAAGGCCAGGAACGTGTCCAAACAACGTCCGACCGGCCGCGGATATTAATGGGAGCCGTTTCTCGCCCCGCGCCAGGTAGAACGTCGCGTCTCGTCTCGTCTCGTCTCGGCGGCTGTGGGATAACGGTAGGAATTCCGTTCTCGAAGTGGCCCCGAGACAAAAGAGGAAGCACCGGACCCTGCTCTTTATGTTCCTCGATTCACTTGGTAATTAGTGGCTTCCGATGAGCCATGGGATAAGAACCTGCAGGATTTTCGGTCAAAGTTAAGTGGAGGATAGGGCTATTGGCAGTGGCTGTGATCTGTTCGTGTAGATCGATTGGTTGGGGAATGAGTAATTTAACCCTTTGCACTCGAGAGGTGACTCTCGCCACTTGATTTGACACAGTGAAACTATAGAATGTGATATTTAATATTAAACTTTGTATAATGCCTCGATACTTGTTCGCCTCGTAAAGGAATGTTAGATGTATCTGGTAAGAAACAACCGAGTGCAAAGAGTTAACACTTTGACTGTCACTTGAATTTGAGTGACACTATTCTTTAGAAACTTGAAGCATCGAACGAGCCGAAATTTTTTTGATGAGATATAAAACAGTAGAATCTTGACTCAGTTTTTGCTTTATTGAGAAATTCTCGACTGCATAGGAGCTTCGATGAGTTTACTTGGCAAAGTGTTGAAACGGAGCTTCCCATTGACACGTTGATGAATGTTGTCTATGAATGTAGGTGCAAATGGCGGCGATGTTTCTCCTATATTCTAAGTACTGTACTATAAATAATCAGTTAACCAAGGATCAATCAACAAAATTGCTTGTCCATCACAGATTTCAAAGTGAGCGTCAGCGTGTCAACAATGGAAGATATCTCGTTTCAACTTTGAAAGACACAGTTCTGCGTCGAGTCTCCCAAGATACTCCAAGCGTTCCATCATCCTAGACCCGAAGACAGCAGCTAATTTTCCCCGCGAGCGCCATACATACCCGAAAATCAGCGAGAATCGTTCACCCAATAACTCCAAGAATCCCGACAAATGGCGCGTTCCGCGAACGAACGTCTGTCGAACGGCAGGAATGATTCGGACAGGGTTGCCCACTGACGAACGACGGCTCCGGGAAACCGTGCATGCAAATGACTCCATCGGGCGAGGATGTTTATTGCTTCCGCATCCGGGGAAAGCTCGCCGGGGGCAGATCACGGGCGAGATAACGCCGAATTAAAACCGTCGATCGCAAGCGGCGCGGCCGAAATAACGAAATTCAATTTGCTGCCGAGCGAGCGAGCGAGTTAGCTAGCCAACGACGGGAGAGAGGAGACTCTCCGAGAGCGCCGACGAGCGATACGCATGAGAGCGCCGGCACGGACGAGCGTAGCTTCCGGTCTCCGGTTCACTCTAATTGCCAGGCAGACGCAGGACCTCGGGGAAAGAAACTAAGCGGTCGCTCGGTCTTAGAGGCAACCCGGTCTCCGGGAGGCACGAGATAAGGCGATAGCTACTGTTGCTAATGTACCCGTCGAACTTCGGACGCGATGAGCATTAACCGTTTGAGTCCCACGGGTTCTCGCAGAAACCCGGTCGAGAAATGCCAAGCGAAGCGATCGCGCTTGTTTCCATTCGATTTAGAAACTGAATGACGCTTCTCTATTTTTACGAAAACAAATTTTAAGTAACGCGATCGTTAGGTTTTTCCAGTTTTAGGCGGGCAATAAGAAAAATAAGAATGAATAGTTAGAAGGAAAAGAAAAATGAATAAGCTTCATCTGATTCTACGTCTCGAATGTTAACCCTTTGCGCTCGAAAGTTTTTCATTGGAAATATTCAACATTTTCTGACGAGATAGACGACACTGTTTGAAACTGATTCAACGATAATTAACAGATAAATCAAGCGACCAAGTAATTTTATTTAAACATTTCCTATAGCGATACAAAGTTTCATTTAAAATACTAAATATTCAATTTTATAGTTTCGCTGTATCAAATCAAGTGGCGACTGAGGGTCACCTCTCGAGTGCAAAGGGTTGAGATTACGCGGTTGATTCGTGGTGTTGAGAGAACGTCTCCGAGACGAGCTGTCACGAGGCTTTCGAAGTTCGATCATTCGTCTCGTTCATCGATTACCGAGATTCAATATCTCGGTGAGAAATAGCCTTTACCACACGCGAACCGCGTAACACGACCACGGACACGCGATACGAGTACCATGCCGCGGCTAATCGTAACAAGAACTAGTGATCTAGGTGGGTAGCTCTCTTCGAAATGAAACGGAATGCCGAGTATTCGCGAGAGATTGAAACCGTTCCGCCGAAAGAATCCCGAAGAACCCCAAAAAAGTCTGAAAAGACTCCGTCTCCGTGCGATGGTCGTTCATGAATGAAAGGGGGGAAAACGCAAAGCTGGCGGAGTCTAGATTCCACGGAAGGATGATCGAAGTGGTTAGGTGGATTCGGGATACGCGCGTATAGGATCCATCCGTATCCCCGTTGTACAGAAGGTTTCGTGTTACCGGTGGAAGCTAGGTGCTACGGTTACACAGGAAGGAAACACTAGTGCCTCCGCCCGGTTCTCCGTCCCTGTTTCTCTCCCGGCGCGCATGTGTCCGTCGCGGAGCGTTGTTCTCCGTTCGCCAGCGCAAAGCGGTGACACAACGGAGCCGCCGCCGCCGCCACTTTGTGCACGTGGAGCACGTATTGCGGTAATGAGCGAGTCGGGCACGAGTGAAAACTGGTCGGCGTGGAAGAGGAGCCAGCGACCGGGAGAGGCAGCTGGAACCGATCGGCAGAATGCGGGCAACTCGCCGCCGCCGCCGTCGGTCTCGATGGGAAAGCCGAACGCGCCGGCGGAATGGCAAATGGAAGCGCCGCGTATCGCTGCGCGATCCGAAGGATGCGAGCGAGAGCAGCTTGTTTCGGAAAATCGACGAGTGGAGGAACAAGCTCGACGAGATCTTCGAATTTTTGCGCGATCGAGTGGCGAACTGCTATCAGGCGCCAGCGTGCGAGCGTTCCGACACGAGTTACACGAAGGAGAAACGAGTCGGAGTTTACCTAAACTCGATATCATCCCCAGGAAAACCTATCGTCTGTCGAAGAACGAAAACAGTCCGCTCGTTGACTCGACGAATCGACGGACCAGAAAAAAGGCGAAGCTTCATCCGGTTTTTACGCAGCCCCCGAGGACGCGGAAGAAAGACGAGTACAAGAGGAAGTTAACCAGAGCTCTCGAAAAAAGGGAAAATATTTGTCCGCAGAAAAGTCAGTCAGCGGCACAGGAAGCCGGCACGAAAGCGAGAGAGAGAGGGGAGAGGCCGAACGGAAGGGAGCAAGGTTTTAAACCGTATCGAAACCATAAGAAGGGAAAAAGGAGTAGGTCGCGCGGAGGTTACGTCGTCTGGTGAGTGTCGCGCGGCCGGAAGTGGCTTCTCGACTGGTTCGGACCTGATGCCTGGCGTATCGGGCCGGCCCAGCTGGACTGCACATGCCCGGGAACCATTTAAAACCTTCTTCCCCGTATTTAGAGCCATACAGAGGCAGAAGACGGAGAGAACGTTACCGGGGACTAATTTTAAGATCATCCTCCGAGGCTCCGTCGTCGTCTCCTTTCTTTTTCCCGCTCGCCGGTTTTTTCCTCAGCCGTTTCTCTGTTCTTTCAACGACGCGCGAGCGCGAGCGCGAGCGGCCGGGCGGCTGGTTCCCTCTCTCGTTTTTTTAGCCGGTGGGCGCGTGCGGAAGCACTGGTCCCGTTGCGGCTGATACCGCCGCCACCGCCGCCACCGCCGCTCGTGTACGCACTGGCAGATAACGCTTAATAGGAAGGTTACTTACCGGATGAGTGGTGTGTCGTGTTGTCTGCGTCGTGATAAGCCTCCACTATTAACGAGAAGGTGCCCTGGGAACAGAAAGGACCAGAGTTAGCGTATCGATCACGTGGCCTGGGCATCCAGCCCCTTTCCGTCTAGCTTGTCTCGAAGGTAGACTGCTAGATCGGTAGTTGCTGGTAAAGTTTATGGTACACTACGTTCACGTGGATGATGTAGATAGTTGAATTGATTAGCTTCACTCTTGTGTAGCTTTCTTAGCTCTGATCTGTTCGGTTGCTCTACTAGATTCAACATCAATGGTAAAACTACCTAATTGACTTTCGAAAAGTTTCGGATTTCTATTAACCCTTGGCAACTAATTTTCATAGTATTCCTAACGAAAATGAGAAATGCTGTAACATTTCCTCGACCTTTTATTTTCCTTAGTACAAAATTCGGATGTGGAAAATCTAATAATTTTAGGGTAGTTTAAGATTCATTAAAGTATTTGATATCATAACTGGTAATATTGGAGCCTATAGTTCAAAGGGTTAATTTACAGTCACGTCCGATTATCGCTGAGCTAATTGATTTCTCGGAGAATCGCGTTATCCCTCCAATCATCGCGAAAGGAAGAAATCAAGGATGCGACGCGAGAATAATGAATTGTTCGTTAGCTTCCTTCGCTTCCCTCGCCACCCCCTCGGCCAATCAAGGGTGCCCCGGTCGAAGGACTGGGACTCGGCAGAAACGACGACCATTCACCCCGACGATCAACCGAGAATTAAACGTCCTCGTATCCTTGAAAAGGTTAACACACCCTCCTCTGTTTACGACTCTCCCGGCCCAGGTGACACGTCGAAGAGCACAGCCCGTCCTCTTCGAGACAGCAGCGCGATCGAACGACAGGTACTCACGGAACAAAGAGAGGGAACACGAGGCGGAACAGAACGCGAGGAAGGCAAACATGTCCCGGTTTCGGCGCGAAAAACGCGGCAGCTGCGCGCGCCGGCCGTCGCGTATATCGCAATTAACAATAAATTAAGCGTCCCGAGGCGGCGTGGCGCGTCACGCGCGCACCTGCCGCGCATTAGAAGGGTGCCGTGGCCGGCGAGCGCCTGCCTAAAAAGCCGGTAGGCGCGCGACCCGGTCACGTGGTCGCGGGATAGATAAAGCGTGTCGGTGGCAACCCTCCGTCGCGGTGGTTCTCAACCAATTCTTTCGCGACTTTCGTTAATTAATTTGTGGATAGAGTGTCGTATAAGATTATTTGATTCTCGATGAATTTTAATTGAGTGATTTGGATAGACTATCGTGGAGTGATATTTGATTCTCGTTGCATCGCATAGCTCGCACTCTTTCAAGGAATGATTTCAATCCGAAGCCGATTCGCTCGCGTCCGTTCGAAGAGGACGAAAGAAACGGTTGAGAACCGCTGCGCCGCAGTCAGCCCCCGTCCGGAATTACCGTGGAAAATTGGTGGGGGCGGAAAGAAAGAGGAAGCGAGAGTCACGAGCGGACAGATACACGAGTCGACTCGTGTCCGACGCAACCCTCCTCGTTCACGGGGGTTGCGGATCGGTTTTATATAACGAGCGGACGCCACGTGCCCCGCCGCTCGTGACGGTTAATCGCCACGCGAAAATAAATAATCGATAGACACCGGTTGAAGGTTTACACGGAATGCGCGCTCCCCGGAACAGGGAAACCTGTTACCGGACGCCGACGCTCGCGACAGGAAATCGGAGCAACACGTGTTGACTTCGCTGATCTCGAATCTGATCGGAATTCTCTAGCAGTATCATTGTCTTCGCGACGGAGATTCGTTCGAGGCGGTGAACGCTCCGTACGACGAAATCGGAGAATTCTCGTTTACCGAACCAACACGACCGGTCCATTATTCTCGACTTCCCGAGTCAATTTAATCGTCAGCTTCGGTGTGTTCAGCTTCGTACATTGTTCCCAGCGGTAGCTAAAGGATCACCGAAAGATCCGATCGAAAATCCGCGAAATCTCGCGATTTACGATCTCCGGGGCGTCGCGTCGCGACGCGTTCCCCCGGTTTCCCATCGAATTTCATTAGAAACCCCGTTCCGTGGCGAGCAGCGAGCAACGGATTACCCAACAATGGGCCACACATCGTCCCCGCAATCGATTCCCGGCCACCTACGACGTCGCGCGTCCGCGGAAAAGGAAACCGATCCGATCGGTCCGCGCGCGCGTCTGCGTGGAAATCGGCGGGAAAGGCTGCCCGCGGGTCCGGCGGGCGCGGCGGGGGCCCGCGGTGGGCGTCGAATCGCTCGCGCGACCATAAATCCAGCCGCGATACCTCCCTATGGACAAACATCGGCGCGGCCCACGCTCCGGGGCCCGGCGACAACGCACGCTCGTATTATTGTGTAATAAGTACGTGCCGTACACGCGGTACGTGTGCACGCCGCGATAATGCGACGTTTAATTATTAACGTCACACGCACCCAGACACGGAGACAAGCCGTGTGTACCTGACTCGCGGCCAGCGGGAGAGAAAGAGGGGTAGAGAGAGGGAGAGAGAGTGAGAGAGTGAGAGAGAGAGAGGAGAGGAGCGGCTGGTATTACACACGACCTCGTTAGTCGTTGCCGCACCGTGAATAATAAATGTTTATATCCGGCCTCCCTGTCATCGTCGCCCGTTCCTGTTCGCGTAAACGACCGCCACTGGGAACGACTCCATCATTAAAAAAATACGTGACCCGCGCGCCGCGGAGGATCGCGTGTGAAATCGGTTTTCGCGCGGCCGACGGTCAATCTTTGTCTCCTCGCTTATCGATGCGCTGCTTAACCCAGTTGCCAGCTAGGATTCATGGGCTGCGCCGGTGATCGTGTGCACGCGTCGATGGGGAAATGATTGCTAATGGATCGCGTGATCAGCGATATGGTTAAGGGATGGAATGCTTCTGGGGCTGGTTGATTAGCTTCCATCGTTCAGAGTCTGTTTCCGTAGCGCGCGACTCGGTCGCGTTCGAGTGTTTGCGCTGCTGCTCGCGTTTCCCAGGAGCTTATCGCTCGGGACTTATCGCGAAGTTCTGTCGAGGTTCGGGGAAGATCGAGTTCGATGTTTTCCGTAGTTCAACGAGTACTTCAATATTTGCGATACATTCCGCCGATGATTCCGTCGGAACCGTAGAAACGAAGCTTCGCCGCCGAGTCGAAGCGTTTCCTTAATCGAGAGTTACTCGTTCGCCGTGAATCGCGTCCGAACCGAGGCTCGAAGCACCTTTCTAAACGAGCGATCGAGCCAATTCCAGCGTCACGCCGAATCCCCTAAACGCGGAGCTTAGCCAGCGCCGAGAACAAACCGTCCATCCCTTCCCCGTCCTCTTTTTATCTCGAGATCGCTGATCAAACATTTCTCAGCGGTAGCGTGTACCCGATGCTCGCCTCCTTATCCCAGTGGTTCTCATGGCCGGGCGAGGGGGCGGAGGAGGGGAGGGAGGGGTGGTTCGAAAAAAGGACAAATTTGCCGCACGGCAATTTGTCTCCCGGCAAGAGGATAGGGCCCGTCGGCAGGTATGTCACCGCGCTAGAAAGTCCCAGCGAGATTCCGCGGGCAGACGGTTTGGAGGAAAGGCCGGGAACACGGCGAAGCAAAAAGGCGAAAAAGGGGTGGGGAACGAAACAAGATGGAGGAACGGGTCGGCAGCAAGGTGTAAAAGGCCGAAAGGGGAGAGGGCCCCGGAGCGGAGAATCGTTGACCGCCCTTTTCTCTCGCGGCAAGGACGAAGCCTTCCAGGGAGCGAGAGAAAGAAGGAGAGGCCACGGAAGGGTAGGACCCTCGAGAGGACCTCGAAAGAAGAGGAACAAGAAGAGGAGGCGCGCAGGAGGGGGAGGGGGCATCGGAGACGGAAATAAATCGTCGAGGAGACAAATGCCACCGTGATCGTCCGCTAAT